AAATTCGTTTCGTCATGGCGGCTGTAAATGGTACGTCTCCTAAAGGCCCTTTTTTTCTAATTACCGACCACTAACGTCTTCCAGATATCATTATCCAAGAGAACCTTAGACTCTGTGGTCTGATCTAATGAGCCATTATACTTGACGGAGTGAGGTATTTCTTTTAAAACATTTAGACCACATAATGATGTGGCTTGTAATCAGATGTCGATGTTCTGTCTCTTTTCCTGGATGTTCTTGCCATACGTGATCTCGACTCTCCCCTGCTCGAGACCCTGGCGTTTGAGACATTCAATCTGTCCATCTACTAATCTCCTTATTTCCTTTGTGTGGAAATGATATCTCACCAGCTCTCTGTTATCATTAAGATCATTGATATCCCCAAAGACACAGAGCAGGAGTTTGTTCATCATTTCTTTTTCCATTCGCCTTGTGCAGCGGGTTATCTGTTGTTTCTTTACAGCCCTGCAGGCGAGAGACTCTGTGGTTTATGTCCATTTCCTTTTATTTCTTTTTTCTTCTCCATGGGATGCCCGCATTTTCTTATTCAATCTTGTCGTTTGTCTTCTAATCCTCATCTCATCCCTCTTTACGTTTCCATACCTGCCTCAATTTTTCATGTCTCTGCTTTTCGAATACTGGATATCCTCTCATCATCTTGATGCCCTCGTCACAGATTCTGTGTGCAACCTGATACCACTCACCCTATCCTTGGTTTCGTGCCCATTGGAAACAATTGAAGGACAATATGGCAGTGGGCACAGGGAATGGCAGGATATGCAGATTATCATGTCTCTTCTCACGTGTCATGTCGGGTCGGTAGTTGGTCATAGTCAGAGTTAAAGGAATTGTGAATTATTCATTTGTTTTAGCCATGGGATTACCGTAGCTACTCGTTCGTCTGTCAAAGTAAAGGATAGGTATGTACGGGCCACTAGGGCCAGGAGCTCGTATATACAGAACACTCGAATTGTCAACGCTCAGATCATGGATGAAGGGCAAAACTCTTAAACCAAAGTACAGATCCTCAGAGTCGCAACTTTGGCCCCAGAAACACAATCAACACGGCCACAATCCACAGACCGAAAATCCACGCATATAGCATCATCCGCCCCCACCAGCCTTTCCCCTCGGTCATGCGCCGCAACATCCCCATTCTCTTCTCTGCGGCGCCCATATTGGTAGTCGTCCGGTCGAGACCTTCGACCGCGCGCGCCAGCACCGACTTCTCCGCCTCCAAACTGGAATGGAATGCCTGCGAGGACGCCTTGAGCTGCGTCGCAAGGGAAAGCAGGGAGGAAGTGAGGTCTTCTTGTTCGACGCGATGGGCGTCGAGCGTCTGCTCTGTTTCTTGAAGCTTGGAGGTCGCGGAGCCGGTAGCTATTGCTGTGGAGTCTGTTGCAGCAGTAGGGCCCCTCTGATGTCGGTGTCGTAGAGTTGTTGTTGTTGTTGTTGTTGCTGCTGCTGTCGCTGTCGCTGATGGCGGTGGTGCTGTCGTTGTTGACGCAGTAGTCTGCAGTGTAGTCTTGGGGATATCCGTCTCGTATTCAGCTTCGCCTTCCGCTTCGGCGTGCACCTCCTCCCTCGCTTCCTCGGAGACAGTATCTCTGTTCCCTTCCGAAGCGGACGATGTACTCCCTGCCTCGGGTGTGACCGTTACCGCTTCTTCCTCCTCACCATCGAGAATTATCTCGTCCTCTTCGTCAGAGTCTGGGTCGGTTTCGGCGGCTTGGCGCATTTCCGCTTCCGCGGAACTTCTGTCTAGTACATCCTGGAGGAGCTTGAGTGTTTGTCGCTTTCGCGTGAGGTCTGTTTGGAGCTCGTGGCGGCGGTCGAGCGGTTTGAGGGTTGGGAGGGTGCGTTCGAGCTGTGAAAGGAGGGTGCGGGCGTACTCGACGTTCTGTGAGGGGTGTCAGTTCGGCGGGATAGAGTGTAGTAAATTGATAGCTGGATTCAATATGTGACTTAACGGAAGAGGAAGACGTACGGCTGCTATGCGCATGCGCTGGTATTCGTTTCGTCGGAGACCTTTGAGGTCTGCGGATGGGGAGAGTAGGTTGTGTTCTAGGCGAGTGAGGAGGCGAGAGAGGTTGAGGATTCTAAGATCGGGAGATGTGCGTGCTGTTGATGAGCTTTGGGGGAAGGTTGTAAGAGTCATGTTTGCGCTTCCTGATCTATTGGAGATTGTGATTGGGGAAAGTGAGGAGGTTGATGCTATAAGTTGGAGACTTGGCTGTAGATCGCATGCCATGGATGAGTAAGCGGCGGAGAGCTTCTACACTTTATCTGCCCTACCCCTGGGATACTCCCTATGGACAATCATTGGCATGTGAATGATAGCTGAGTGCGGAGAATCAATCCTTTTCCAATGGAATTATGTATTGGGAAGATCGAGAAAGTCAAGCATCATCATCAAAAAAATCATGCAATATCATCAGTCATAGACAACTTTATCTTCAAAACACACCGCCACCCACGCTGATCTACCATAAATGAACTGACAAGATGAAAAGAAGAAACAGAGTTCGAAATGTGCCCAGAGGAGGTTCCTAACAACTTCAGAAAAGGGATTCTTCCACCTCAGCTGTATTCCACGGTCACCCGCCTCCAGGAACGGGTGCCCTCTGCGTCCACAACCTGAGGAAAGTGGACTGTTTGATTTCGTCTGTGAGGTGGATGAAGTTCTTCGGAGCCTGGAAGCTCATGGACTTCCTGTCTGTGAGTCTCAACAGACCATGCAGCAGGTACTGTTGAAACTTTGCCCCGGCGTTGATGCTCATTTTCTATTTTAGAACAGGCCGAAGCGAATGAGTCGACCAAGCCAGCATTCTTATCCGAGGTCGCTGGGCAATATTCATCGCGATCGGAGACGTTCCCCTCAGATACGGCCCTGGACTCGGACCCAGCAATTGCAGAAGACTGTTGCAACTGGCCATCCTCTTCAGATGCCAATTTGCTTCTACTCGGTTGACATCCCAAAATAGAGGCAAGATAGCCACTTGACGGCAACGGTGCAAGTTGTGACAGGGGTTGCAGTATATCACAAGCCGAAGGAAAAGCGAGGCTTCCGTGCGACGGAGCATCTGACCTGAGCGTATTCTGCTGCAGTTCCTTCGTCTGCTGCTCGCGATCATACTTCTCCTGCCTCTGGAATTGTGAATCCATCTCGCTCATAGGCAGTCCGCACTGCCCTTGCCGTCGACGTCTGATAAGCCGCGCTAGGCCTACGATGCAGATCACCAAAAGAGCGGGATATACTATCCCGAGTGAGTGTGCTTGCAAGACTTTGGGTATGGCCCAGCAGTGATCTCCAGGGCTCATTGCCAGATGTGCGGTGTCCCCTTCCATGAAGCGGCTGTCCTCCGCCACCTCTTGACCTGGATCGGGATAAGTATCCTAAAACCGTTGTCAACAAGCCTTATAACAAGGAATCTACCAGAAGCTGTGTAACACACCCCAAGGATAGATCAACCCTCACGCGACCCCTCACGGCTATGTTTTGGGAAATTTGAAGAACAAGATGAGAAAGGAAGAGCAAGAGGATGGATGTTTGCCATGCAGTGTTGACTCGAGTGTAGTAGACGTAAGAGCAAGCTACAAGAAGGACATCATCAGAGAAATGAAGGGAACATCCAGGTCTCTCGGGACGGCTCTCCTCGGCTTTATAAGATGAGGCTGATTGAACACAAGGCACAGGAAGTTACATTCCGGCCACCCCAGTTTGATTCGGAGGGAAAGATGTCATTGTCTACTAGCCTGGGGCTTGGAAACAAATAGTCTCCACATATCAACCCAGATGACCATAAATATCGTGCGTCTCTTTCTCTCTGGCAATCTGGCCCGACGACTAAGAGAGGGGGCCATCCCGGTCCAGCTGCATTGTGATCAGCCACGGAACTGGTGAAATGGATGAGGACACGGGAGGACAGACAAAAGTCTCCCCACGTCCTCATAGGGCAGCTCCCTGGGGCAAGAATGCCTGGACTTCGGAAGTCTGGCAAGTTCAGCTGATGTAGATGCGCCACCAGAAGGGGTGGGCTCAGAAAGCGAAAGTGGCGCCTGAAACAGAGGCTAGCGAGTAGGCAGATCTAGCGACGATCACCTAGATCAGACTAAGTACTCACTAAGTTTGGGGTCTATGATCAATCTGGCCATCATAGGTCGGCATTGGAGACCCATAGTTCTGGATCAACGATATAGTCTAGATATCCGATGAGGCTGTCCCAGTCAGCCATTCCGTTGGCTGAGTTTAACTTCACAGTGTTGTAAGAGAGGAGACAGGTGATGTTGGGAGGGGAAACCACGACACCAGTCGCTTTCTCCTCCTTTCATCCTTCTCCTCAATCATCTTTTTCCCCTCTCCCCTTTCCATCCAAAGAATTGAGTCCAGTTATCTATAGTCATTTGAAGTTTATTGGATACTCCTTAGTGCAGGACAACAAGGTCCATGTACATCGCTTCCGAGGTTTGTTGATAATTGGCCACATTGAGCCAGTGTGGGTGATTGTATACACCAATGAATCATTCAATAAAAATGGATCCAAATCAAAACATGTGCTAACGAAATTTCCACGCAGGCGATCCATATGACTAGCCATTATCGAAATTTGCCCGTTATAAGAGCAAGCGGCGCCGTCGAGGGGCAAGGAAGTGGCCGCCTTTCGGTGACTCCGACGGACAACTGTATCAATGTCGTTGCCTTTCGAGTCGTCCATGGCGAATTGGCTTCGGTTTGGACGTGGAGAACTTCCGTTCTCGAATACAGAGAATGTTTAATCGACTCTCCTGTCTCATGTATCTGACCTATTGACCCAACGACCTGGTCAGCCCGGAGAGCAGGCTATCTATAGGATGCTTGATCCATCAAACTCTGTACAGATCTCAAATATCCTGCACCAACCAGAACTCTGGGGGTGATAGTCGATCTGTATCAATATGCATGAACTGAGGGGCAAACTAAGCTAAATCACGTCAAAATGGAAGAACACCCAATCACCGCTCTATAGCTTAGCAGTGACCCCATTCCTTTGGGTCTCTTCTTTGGCTCTTTCTCGAAGCACTTTACGCAAAATTTTTCCAGATGGGTTCTTAGGAATGGCGTCGACAAAAACTACCCCACCAGTTATTCTCTTGATCGCAGACACTTTGCCATCCATGAAGGCGACAATGTCGTCCGCGCCGGCGTTGTGTCCTGGCTTTAGCACAATATACGCTCGAGGACGCTCGTCGTCATTCCTGAACAGGTAACCAGCCTTAGCCTTGGGTCTCATTTTTGGTCGATTTACTTACACTTGCACACCAATGACGGCCACATCGGCAACCGCAGGATGTTCCAGTAGCAGGGCCTCCAGCTCTGCCGGTGCCACTTGGTTGCCTTTCACCTTGATCAATTCCTATCCGAGATCGGCACTGTCAGCTTACATACTTCATGCAGAAGTCATGCACCATGGGTTGCAGTGCTGTGACTGAGAGTGGGCTAACCTTCTTGCGGTCGACGACATGGAACCTCCCGTGGTCGTCCACGTATGCAATGTCCCCTGTTTTCAACCATCCATCGGCCGTCTTGGTTTCCTTGGTTGCTTGGGGGTTCTTCCAGTAACCTTTCATGATATTCGGGGCTCGTACCCAGAGCTCGCCGCGTTGGTTGCGTCCATACTCTGTCACTCCGTCGTCGGCCATGATTTTCGCTTCACAGTTCGCATTTAACTCTCCAACCGATGCAGTATAGCTCTTTTCAGCTGGGTTCCAGCCCAGTATCGAACATGTAGTTCTGTTAGCGACATAATATTAGCTTGTCAGGACTCTTTGCAATCAAAATCAAGGAAACCATACTCGGTCATTCCCCAGCCCTGCTTGACATTAATGCGACCCGGTGGCCACAGGGCCTCAACCTCCTCGCACACTTCTCGTCCCAGGGGTGCTGCTCCACTTCCGATGGCCTCTACGCTGCTCAGGTCATACTTTCCGCTCTTGACCGCAGGATGCTTGGCCAATGCAACCACCACCGGGGGCACCAAAATGAGGTCCGAGATGCGGAACTTCTCCACATATTCGAGCATCTTGATGAAGTCAAACTTGGGCATAATGTAGACAGGCACTTCACGGCTCAGCGCAGCCGCGATAAAAATGTTCTGCGCCATCGCATGGTACATCGGCAAAAAGCACAGCCACCGCGCCCTGGCCGACCTCTCCTTCCAATCGGGGTTCAGGTAAAACACGTAGTTGTACTGCAGCATGTTGGCAACGTAGTTCTTGTGCGTGATTTCCACCCCCTTTGGCCGGCCCGTCGTGCCGCTCGAGTAGTTCAGCGCAAGAGTTCTGTCAGCTTCCTCGGGCGTCGACAGCTCATCCCAGACAAACCCTCTCCCCTCCTCAAGGGAAGCTACCAACTCCCCCCAGTAGCGACACCCTTTCCTCCCTTCCCCCTGCCCGTCAAAGATCGCATTATTGAACACAAACACCCGATCCCGGCTCAACCCGGCGATCTGAGCAGCCTCAATCCCCACATCCAGACTCACGTCCGCACAGAGAAGGAACGAAGCCCCGCTATCCTGCAACTGGAAAGCCAGCTCCCTCGCCACAAACGTCGGATTGGCACCCGTGAAGATTCCCCCAGCCATGATGATCCCCATGAACACGACAGGGAAGAACAGATCATTACCGGAGAAGAGCAGCACGCGGTCACCAGGCTGAAGACCAGCTTTGCGCAGTCCAGCCGCGAACCGCTGGCTCCACAGTCGGAAGTCATGGGTGGTGAAGTAATGGGTATCTGGGCGGGCGGCCTCGGAGAAGCATCGGTGTGTTGACGAGAGAGGGTGCGTGGGCGATTTGAGAAGAATTGAGGCGAGGTGGGTGTTTGGGATATCGACGTGATAGCGCGATTTGAACGGCATCTTCAGTATCTTTTCTGTTCTGTGAAAATGTGACTCGGTTATCGACCTCGTACGCAGAGGATGTTCGCTGAGAAAAGCAAGTAAGCAGAAACTATATATACTCAGACCCAACATACAACACCATTCACTGGCCCTAGTTATTTCGCCTTCGAAATACCCCGCTAAGCTCAGAGTAGTTCTAAAATGACCCCTTTTACCATTTGTCTCACCGATCGCGTCCAATACGTAGCCTACATTCTTTGTGGTGCTAGTCTACGTAGCTGGGTGTCCAGAGAAACAAAGCTCTCCCCGCATTTCCCCCGCATCGCTTATTCCTTGCTCCGAGGCTGACCTCGGACTTCTCGGTATAGTCGGATCTTAGGTTTAATGGCATGGATACTGGAATTATGAGCATGGATCATGGGATGATTATTGGCTAGAGACAGTATGGTGCGTTTCGGTTTTTCTTGATGCATGAGGAGACGGCACATTTATCCGTGAAGCTTATCTGGTGCCAATTAAAGGATATGCCCTACATGAAAAAGGCAAAAAAAGAAGAAAGACAAGAAAGATATATTCTACCCAGGATAATTTACACTCCATCCGATCCATCCCATAGAGCATGCTAGATCGAAGCAGAAGAAATGGTACCCTGAAGATGCGAAGGTAAGAAACGTAAACTTGGCCAAAAACAGCTGGACCGCTCAATACATCATCATCATTATGCCTCCTCTCCTCCAAGGCAGACCAGGGCTGCCTTGAGCTCATTCACAATCTTCTCCTCCAGACGGTTCTCTGCGCCTGAGGCAGGGTTCACCGGCTTCTGCCGTGCCAGCTCCACTTCTTTTTCGCTGGTAGCGACAATCCGCGCGCGAAGACTCTGCCGACGCTCTAGCAATTCCTCGATATCTTCTTTGACCTGCGTCTTGTCCCACATGAGTTCCTGGATAGATTGTGCATCTACCCCAGCACTGGGACCGGCTTCTCGGAAGCGGTTCAAGATGAAGGAAATAAGCGCAAGCGAGTATGCTTCGGATGCCATGCTCAAACAGATGCGTCGTGATGGAGAGCCTGAGCGGTCCGCAACGAAAGATTCGGACGCCCGCTTAAGCTGCCCTTCGAATTGGTTAAGGAATGCAGCCACCTCGGGCGCGGTGCGGAGGACGTGGTACAGGAGATTCAAGCACAATGGAAGGAACCCCGCAGTCCAGATGGTGTACAATCTGGGTACGGTGTCGAACGGCCCAAAGCCTCGGGGTTGTTGCAAGACATTAGTCAACCGGCAGGTGGAAAGCCTCGTCAAGACCGCTTCCACTGCCAAATGTTCCGCTAGCATCGGCAGTGTTGACAGCTTGACCAGGAACAGAATACTGAGCTCTCCGTACACGGGATCCCCAGACACCGCTAGTTGATCCGCCCATGAGAATAGTGACATAGCGTGCCTAGCCGTGTCGTTATCTTCAATGTGGTACACAATGTGCTCGTATAAGCGATCCGCATTCTTGATTTGAAGCGAAGTCTGCAGGATAGCGGTCAGTAGAGCGAAATCCTTCGGCTCACACTTGTCCGGTTGGTCATGCAGATAAGTAGTCAACGACCGGAAACCGTGCGCAACGACGGTCTTCACAATCTCAATCACTAACGTCAGATCCCAAGAGATCTCTGCTTTCCTGCTCGATGCTTCAGGCGCCGTGCGGGAACTCCCGTCGAGGTGGAACTGCAGCGCAAGGAAGAGTACGTTCAGAACTGAGCGATAGTATTCTGCGTCGTCGTTCACCAAGGCTTCTTCATAAGTTGCGCGGCGAGTGCGCAAAGCATCCCAAACGACTCTCAGCAAGCCGAAAACTTCAGCACCCTTTGCTCCAGCCTCTACCAGTCGCTGAAGTAAAGCCTGTGCAAATTCCACCCTTGTTTGCTGGATCTTCTCGAAAATTGCTTCTTGCGGAACTCCCTTGATGTTGGCTTCGAGACAGCTCTGCACGACCGAAGCCATCGATTTTTGAACTTCACGGTCCGCCATAAAGTCCGTACAATGCTCCGTCGCGAAGAACTTCCAGCTATGGAGGAGGCTCTATACAAAAATGATCAGAAATCTTCTCATACGTAAGGTAAAAGTTCACCACTGTACGTACCACCTGTGCCTCGACCAATGACAGATTGATGTTGGCTCGTTCGAATTCCTCGGCAAAACCTTGATTCTTAGTCCCTGACCAAGCGAAGTCATAAGAAAGAAGCTTGTCTCCTAATTGAATGTCGTAATAGTAGTCACATCCCAAGGAGCGAGGTTGCAGAGATGTCCTTCTGAAATCGGCGAGCTTGCAGCCAGAATATCTCATTTCGAAATTCCTCTTCAGATTGGCGTGTAATGACGCATTATAAGCAGAGACATCGACTGCGTCTTTCGAGTACCAAAGCATAAGCGGGATCAACGTCTTGTAAAAAGTCCGATCCTGCATATCCTTGACCGAGTGAAGGTAGACAGCACAAAGGTCAGCAACGACAGCGGCAATTCGCGTAGCGAAGATCTGATCCTGAACCGGTAATGATGGAATTTTCAAATTCGAGACATAGTTGACAAGGCTGTTAAAAAACTGAGGGGTTTTTCGCAGCTCTGGTGTGGCCCAGGGCCAATTCTCCTGAGCACACGAAACAAACTCCAGCAAGGAAAGTGCTGCACGAAGATCCATTTGTTCAACGTTCGAAAGCATTCCAAGAGCGATTTGGAGAAAGGGCGTTCCCCTCATGGTGGGTCCGCCCTTTGCGTCTGTTTTTTTCATTGTCTGCCGGGCAGACGATCCAGTCAGGATATACACCGCGAGCCACTGCTGGCGCTTACTGACGATTGTGGATAAGAAGTGCCATACCGCTAAGTGTAATTTCTGATCACTCAACGGCTTGTCGAACTGTGACAGAACGTCGAGGAAGAGGCAGGAGGACTCCGCCCCAAGGTGTCCGACCAAGGACGGGGGTTCATTCGCGGAGTCGAGAGCTGCACCGGAGATTAGGATCTCAAGAAGTAATATTACGGGTAAGCGGTACGCATCGAGCAACGAATATAGTTTGACGAGAACGGGAGTGGCCTTGAATATTTGGTCCTCTAGTAGCGAGGTTGGTTGCTCCAGATACCGGGCGGCCTCCAATAGTCTGGTTGTTAACTCCAATGTCGATCTCACCTGCTTCTCCATCAACACGAGGTAGCGAAGATGTAAAGTAGCCGGCGTCTGAAGGCCGTCAACGAGCAACCGAAGGATTGGATTGAAAGGCAGGTCTGCCTTGGACTGTGGTCGTAGCACATCCAGAAGATATGTTGCGGATGAGGAGAAAACGCCAGTAACCTTCAAATCCAGTTTGGTAGAATCGTTCGTCCCATAGGTATAATAGATCATCCTTTCGAAGGTCTTAGCAAGAGTGGCATTGATCTCGAGCCTTTGTTCCGGGGCGTTGAAACGCCAGTCGATGTTGCTGTTGAACACCTCTACCATTGTCCGCACAAAATTCAATAAGATACCTCTCATGATATGAGTTGGTACGCCAGAGGTCCATTCAGAGGCAGCCGTCATTTTTCCCGACGGGTTATTCGGGCATTTCCTCACCATCGCGCGTGATGCTGCGTCGTCCACGACAGCCTGGAATAATTTGACACACTCAAGCAGGAATGGATAATCTCCCGATGTCACTTCAGTCGCGGAAACGATTGCGGTCATGACGCCGCCCTTGCCGTCTGACCCGAGTAAACTGCTCCGGGCAAGCAGAGGCCATACTCTTCCAGGTAAAACCATTGTAAGTGCACGAATGAAGCGTAAGCAGGCGATGACCGACTCTACTTTGCTGTCTAATCCAGCCCTTGGACCGATATTGTGCAGACTGCGCTCGAATATATCGAAGATCAACGATATAATATCGCTTTCACGAGCCAATCCATCGCTTGCAATCTCCAAAATACGTTTGGCGCCAGAGCCTGCCTCATTTGGTGTTGGCTGAACCCATGCGGCAACAAGTAGGTCCGCCATAAGACCTATAATCTCCGCAACGTTGTCCTCTTCCGCGCCGGATAAGTATCCACCGTTTTCATTCCATTCTTCTAAGTAACTCCCCAGATAACTCAGGCAGGAATATTCGTGATACCACATAATCACTGCTGGCTTTGCTTCGGATATCACTTGTCCTAACGTTGACGAAGGTACATGTGATGAGCTTGTGACAACCAGAGCATTGCTTGGTTCATGGTCCATAATTTGCCTCGCCGTCGACGACTCGAAGATCGCCAGGGGCTGTGTGAGGGTGACGAGGTTGGCATTTTCATCTTCACGGATTGTTTCATATCCCTGAAATTCGAATGGCACTATCTGCGTGAAGGTGTCCATATTCTCTATCTCGCTGAGGATTTGTGGGATGCCCTCCTCGTTCACCATGTCTTTGCTAATGAGCGCTCGGCAGAGTTTCAAGAATGGCACCGTTTCGTATGGAAACCGTGAGCGTGCGAGGCGGAAAATCTTGTCCATTAGGAAATCATCGTTCATGAAAATCCATCGCGGGTCGGTAGCGGCAGAGAGAGACTGTGAAGAACAAAGTGATTTTGTGGGAGCCCCAATGAGGATCGCCAAGACAGAGCCAACAATCTCGGGGGAATACTCCACGTAAATCCTCACGACGCGAATGAGATCCAAAAGTACCATTCGTGTCCACCGTTCTGTAAGGATGTCGTCGACGGCTGATGTTGAACCAACGTTGGTGGCCAAAGCGACTATCACATCAAACATCATGTCCTTCATAGCATCCGAAGTCAAAATGGCGATCGAGTCCTCAGCTGTGCAAGTGGGAGACCGTGCGCATTCGAGTAACTCCTCGTACAAAGAGAGCTCTGAAGCTCGGCCCGAATTTGAGTGGGGGGTATTAGATTGAAAGGAATCCACCGCGCTGTGAAACTGTTCCAGCTCCCGCGTCTCTTTGTCGCTAAGTGCCAGCTCTCTCAAGGTATGTAGAAGTAGACCCCACGAAAATGCTGCGGGATTTGCAGTTTT